CTTCTTGCGCCATCTTTAAGGCTTCGGTTGTTGCTATGTCAACATTGCATGGCACCACAACCAGATTTATTGTCTCCTGCTTCGCGATGAACTTCTTTATCAGGCACTTGATCTAAAGCGACAGCACACACATCCCAATACAATGCTTACACTGAACACATACAGTATGACACACTGACTTCGATTCGTTCAAAACCTTTACATTAAAGGGCATTAAAAAGATACTTTAAAATTCTTAGACAAGGGTTCAAAGTTCTATCAGAGAAGAGGAACCTCACTTGTTCCCCAATGTTCTCAGGTTGACCCTTCACAGCAACTCTGGCAATTCCTGGCAAGTCGATGAGCGTGAGGTCAGGAACATCAGGGGAAGAGATCTCCAGACTTATAAGTTCTTGAGAGATACCAACACCAACACCCGCAATCTCATCTTGGGCTGTTCAATACAGATGTTATAAAATATATTTAAATAAACAATCCTGAGTATGGATCATCAACACTAACATTTATTTTTAATTATAATCTTCAGTTTTTATTTATTTTATTTTAATGACAGGTGTTCCTGCAATCAAGACCAGAATAAATGGTTGGATGGTTGGATGAATGAACAAGAGATCATTTTATAATTATTGATTAATCATTGTATAATCAATATGATAGTTATCAATTGCCTAAAGTAAACTGAAGAGAATATCTTTTCATTTGGCATGCACAAAGGAACATACTGACAGTGAAGATAAAGAGATCTCTTACCTTTTCGAATAAACCTCTCTACTTCAGAGGGATCCTTAATTTCCTTTTCCTCTGATTTGTATTTTATTTTACCATACCAATTATCCTCTGCTTTTATTTTCTTCATCTTCAGTTCCAGAGGACATCGTGTCACAATTCCTGACAAATAAAGATAATTCTATATCTCTTCAACAAAAGACTCCAGTTTCCTCCAGTTTCATGGAACCTCAAATTAATTTGCATAAGTAATTTCCACAACACTAAAACAAATTAAAGTAAACCTCATATTAAATAGAATATAAGGGAAGCTGTTTGTTAATTCCTCTTCTGATACGAATAAGATACAACCGACTCAGACAAGTCATCAAAACATCAAAACGCTTCAATAGCTTTTTTATTTGCCATTCATTAAGCAGGTAAGACATGGTACAGTTCAGCCTTCAGCTGATGCACAAATACTTATGAATAGAATAGAATAGAATATATCTTTATTGTCATTGTAGATACAACAAAATTTGAATCCCCAACTTCCAGTGCAAAAAAAGTGAGTTTCTTGGCAGTGTTAATGACCCCTTGAAGCACCTTCTGTTCAGTAGCTGAAGCTGTCTGCAAATTTACTTTTGCACATGCCACACTGCACAGATTTCCCACATGGGTGAGAAAGACAGATTCCATCAGGGCTTGTGGGTTACGGCACTTACCGCTCCCCCTTGGCAGTGCCACTCCAGACAGAGCCTCCAGCACAGAGCTCTTCCCTGAGCTCTGGTCCCCAATAACAGCAATAGCTGGCAGAGCCAAATCCTGCTCCACGCCCAGTGAGCGCAGGGAGTCGATCAGGTCGATACAGGGACGCACTTTCTCCTCATAGTGCTCGTTTAGGATGTTAGTCACGCCACATGGCTTAGGAGATGCTGCTGTTTCTAAACAACGTAAATTTCATATACTGTTATTCTGTACAATCAACTGTGGGAATCAGATAATTAATTATTGGATCATTAATTAAAATTTTAAGAAAGACACCAATTTCCATGTAGCGGCTTGTGCTGTATTTTGATTATTACTTAGGTAGGTAGTTAAGCATTTGTATTCTGCATTAATAAAAATACCATTTAAATGTTCCTCATTGTTAAAAATGCCATGTTAACCTATGGGACACTTTAAATAGACATATCCTACCTTCAAGTTCGCCCGGCTCCAGGTCATCTGACAAAGCAGAACTAAGTGACCCGGATTCTGTGTAAAAAAGATATAAAGGTCTCATTCTCATTATAACATTGACTCAAACTCCCAGCGCAGAGCTCTCCCCAAAGCACTGGTCCCCAACAACAGCAATCAAATCCTGCTCCATGTAGGGAGTCGATTAGCGCCGTGCATCTTCACTGGTCTCACTATTTGATTGGATTACGATTATCAAATCAACAACTGGATTCCACACTGCATCACAATGCATTGCATCCTCAGTGGCTATTTTTTCATCAATGAATATAAGCAGATGGCGGGTGTATTCCGCAAAGTAAATCCCAGCAGCGGTCACAGCTCAAAATGTACTGTACTGTTACGTTTTCCATGACAGTGTCACGCACGTAAAGGCAGTGTCTCGTGACTTAACAGGTGTTACGGGACACTGCCTGTACGTGCGTGACACTGTCATGGAAAACGTAACAGTACAGTACACTTTGTGCTGTAACCCCTTCTCGTAAATCCTTTTGTAGTGCAGTGCGTTGTTTCCTATTCGAGCGGCAACGATCATATTAGTTTGCCACCAGCACTACGTCTTTGTCTGATAGCTGCCATTCGTCCACCAGATGAGACAGTAGCTCCGCCAGATGAGTATTCGTGTCAGACTCATGATCGGCTCTCGTTTGCAGTACATGCGACAACGTCTGCCAGTCCTCCCTAACGTATAAACATGAAAGGTTGCTGCGATTAAGTTCTTTTGTACTGTAGAATTTTAATGTCCAGCTGCATCCGAAAAATCAACTAAAAATGACTCGATCATGCACTGTCACTCCAACGACTCAGAATCGTCCACCGCGGTGCCTCTTAAAAACGATTAATTGTGTCTACCCTAGAACCGTTCAGATCAATACAGGGGTGCACTCTCTCCTCGTACTGCTTATTTAGGGTGTTAGTCATGCCACTTGGCTTAAGACAAGTTATTAAACAACTTAATATTCATACACGGTTATAATTTACAACCAACTGTTGAAATTACATAAATATTTTTAAAGCAAGCGATTTCTGTGTAACACTTGTGCCATATTTTGGTTATTATTTAGGTAGTTAGTTAAAGAATTGGTAGGCAATTCTGCATAAATAAGAATGCCATTAATCATAAAAGTATAAAAGTATCGTATTATTATCCGTGGGATGCGTTGAATAAACATATGCCTACCTTCAAGTAATGCCAGTTCCATGTCTGTGACAAAGAAGTACTGAGGGAACCAGAATGTGTGCTGGAAAGATATAGAGGTCTCAGATTGAATAAAACAGAAACTGACGCGGTGAAATCAGGAAGGTTTCGTTTCTCTGTAGCTATACTGTACGATGGCGACATCTCAGTTTCGATATTGCAGGTTTATAGGAAAATGTGCCGGTGTTCTGTCGATATATGCTGCCTTGTCGAAAAATGCTACCGTAGTGCTAATAGATAGCCCTAACCCTAACTCTTACCCAAAACCCCTAAAACCCATACCTTAACCCTAACCCTAACCCCTAAAAGCTAACCCTAATCCCAAAACGGTGGAACTGCACATGCGCAGAAAGGCTCGATAGCACGTCTCGATAGGTAGAATTTTTCGACAGAACACCTGTTTTGAGGGTTCTTCTGTGGTTTTTTATGAGATCAACAGACGATTCTGAACTCACCTTCCCCTGTTATAGCACACAGCGAATATTTTAACCAACTTTTTAAAAACAAAAATATTCTTAATAAAATATTCTTTTTAAGCATGAAAAAAAACACTCTAATGAAGTTGCTAATATGACCCACCGGGTGGCGCTTATTGACCATATAATGAACACTCGGTATATCTACGTGCATATAAATAATAAATATAAATTGGAAACGTGCACGAAATTGTTTAAAATATGATGGGTTACGGGTGTTAACTTAAAACTATTAGCGTTAGATATATATTTGAAAAACTTACAAAAAGCATAAACTCCATTATTAGTTTAATTGCTATGCAGGGGCGTTACCTATAAATTCCGGGCCACCTTACAAAATATTCTTTTGGCCCCCACCCAATTGCACACAATCCTGGACTTCTATAAAGTGCTGTCTTTTTTAATCTGAAGGGTTTTCAATGTACCTCGTGCGCCGTTGCATGAAACAAATGTGTTAAGTTGCCATTACGTGAATTAAAGAACAAAAGACCATCGCTTTTGTCGAAACAAGAAAACGGTGTGTGCACGACATGCGCTCACGCTTAACTACTGATGATGGACAGTTTTTGGCTCACTCGATCGATGTCAAACTAGCACTTACTGGACGTATCGTTCATAAACAACATCGTACCTCTGAATTTTTTTTTATTTATATAAGGATCACTGCATTTATTCCTTCAGTTCGTTCAATAAGTTATTGTTTGTTAGGTTAATTCAACAGGTGATTTTCCGAATAAAGTACACCCTCGAAAGAGATAATACCCACTTTATGGTAACAGTTAATGGTACTCAGTAACTAAGTACATTGACATCAGGGAAACCTGTCTGCCAGGTGCAGACAATTTGGCTACCTCATTCATGTCTCACTTGGTGTAGAGTTGATGTTCATAAATAACTATATCACCTACAACAACCTCAGTCCTGTCCAAACAGATATTGAGGACCTTCCTAATCTGTTGGGCAAGAACCTCAGTTTTACTGACATCACTTATATCTACCGTTTGTCTATTGAAGGTCTAATAAAAACTGCAAAATGAAATATCAGCAGAATATTCCTGAATTATGCAGGACTAAATCCCAATAAGCTTTGTACAAAGTTATTCTCCAAAATTGTATTTTCCCTCAAAAGCATTTATTCTTATTTATTAGTGCATTCATTATCAATATACCCACTTATTTAGTCAGGTTTACTCTTGGTTTGTTTACTATACATCTTAGAAACTGACATTTAGTTTAGTCCATCTCATTGTTTGTTGGGTCAAACAAAATCAGCGAGCCAAAATCCAAATATATGAGATAAAATGGCATTGTAACATGTTTAAACTTTATTGAAGAAGAACAGAATTGAGAGGTCAATACATCATGGAAAGAGTAATCCTCTCTGAAGGCCCTGAAGTTGGCTGAACAGTGCTGATGATGGGCAGGAGAGAGAGGTGAGGGAAACATTCTGGCCAATTGGAAAGTGAGCAACGCTAAAGGCAGGAGGCTGGAACATCAAAGGAAACAAACTGCCAACCGCTCGTCACTCAGCACTGTGTGCATTGGGCTGAGGTGCTCGAAGCATCCTGTTGTTGGAAATCTGTCCTTTCCATAAACTCTCCACTCTAATGATCACAACCAAATAGTTCAACAGAGATTGTGTGTTTCACAGGGAGTATCCTACTGGTGGCCATGAGTCTGGGGCTCTCATACTGGTAGAAGTAAGAGCCCTCCATGATCTTCACTCCATCTGAACCGCATGTTCCTGCATCAATATGCTGGAAAGGCAGTTTATACTCCGTGCCTTTCTCCCGAGGGTGGCTCTGTAGGTCCACCTCATGCATCTTGTCTCCTGGAGAAGGGATTTTACCGAAAAGTCATGCCAGTTAGACTATTAATGGCAGGTGATTTTTACATCGCTACGCTACTCTGCGCCACGACAGCGAGTTATCAGGACTACCTTGAATGACGTATAAAACGTGTGCATTGTTGCAAACGAAGGCGACATCCACGTGGCCTTTAATTCCAAGCTCCTCACTCACAGGCTTTGGGTAGCCATCCAGTAGTGATTGCTTCTCTCCCGTACTATAAACATAGACCTGATTGCCCTGCAAGACACACCGTGAGGATAAGCTATTATAACTATCAACAGCAATACCAGCAAGTGCTGTCACCAGAGTTCCTTATTCAATAGTGTGATCACACCCACCTTGATCATGTAAAGATTGTTATTGTAGGAAAACACTGTATCCACATCACTGTGTATCTCTTTCCAGGTGTCATTAATGGGGTGAGCTTTCCAGGTCTTGTTGTCAGGAGCACGGTGAAGATAGTAATGACCTGCGGGCCAAATGCACTAAGTTTCACAGGGTGAGGAAATGTGCACATATAAAAATATGTGGTCCTTACCTCTGAAAGCATAGATGTTGCCTGCGTCATCAGATGTGATGTCATCCAGGTGCACACGGCTACATTTCTCTCTCTCCGTGTGGTCACTGTCCTTGGCTGCAACAGAGGAATAGTGACATTTTTACTGCAAAACATTTTCCCTGTCTATTTAAGGCATAGCCAGCAACTATACTTGGAGAATTAATATCTGATATCATATATGAGTTGAGAAAGAATGGGTTTGTCAAACAGTGGAGTGTAATTCTTTTTGATTTATCTACGTATAAATGAGTGCATATCTAAGACTGTGGCGGGTCGGTACTGGCAGATTTAGGTGAGGTTGGCACTGGCAGATTTCGGTGAGGGTGGTATCCGCAGCCACTCAGGTAGTGCCATTTGCGCGATTGAGGTTGGCATACAAGACAAGTCATTTCCTTGTAAATATATAGTCTGTAAGGTTTGCAAACTACCCCAACGCTCGTCAAAGGCATTCATGTCGGTGTTTAAAGTAGCCTCAATCAGTTCGAATCAATCATGCGCAGTGTGTTCAGAGTTGCACGTGTACAGTCAGATAGATTAAGATGAGGCTTTTTCTGAAGTTTGGTACGGATATCCGCATAGCTCAGGGAGTTGAAGTCTCACTAAAATATTTTTACTCTGTCATAGGAAAAGAAACCTGACACGTTTTACAATTTTAACGATTATTCTGTTTCAAGATTAGATAGATAGATAGATAGATAGATAGATAGATAGATAGATAGATAGATAGATATAGACTTTCTATGTCCTCAGCGGAGTCGGACGCACTTCTCTCCCTCTCCCTCCTCTTATCTTCCCTGCTTTGCTCCTCTCGTCTCATCTAGTCTACTGTCTTATACTTTGAGAGACTCTCTCAGCCTTGCTCTCCAAACTAAGAAAAATCATGGATTTGTTCAACTGATCTCTCAACGCAACTGACACCATCTTCTCGACGAGAAGCCCAGGTTCAGGGGAATCTGACTGTATTGCAGGAACGTACGCAGCTGGCTACACGATGGACGGATGGGAGAAGTGGAGGGTCGTGTGTCTGGCAGCTCTTTCCGTGGAGGACATCGAAGATATCTACCTATTCGGAACCATGATTACAGGTCTTATACTGATTGGATTAGGCATTGCCCTGGTTTATCGAAGATTGAAGAAAATGGTGACAGCCGCTCAAAGTCCCACTAGGCTGGCCGGAATGATTGATGGAGTGGGCAGAGCTGTTGGCACTCAGACTGTGACTATTGATCGCAAATTGGATAACATCACTGTGACTATTGATCGCAAATTGGTTAACATCACGGAGAAGCTCACGGCTTTGCAAAGGATTTTGGATGGCGGAGACCAGCGTGGACATTAGAGGAGCTGTGAAGTTACAGTTTCTCGCCCGGAAACCGAAACAACCCGATCCTATCTGCTTTTGGCTCCCCCCTAATCAGCACTGGCCTCGGCCAAAGCCGCTGCTGAATTAACAACTCCCCCGGAAGAACAAGGCAGTGAGACTCTCTTGCATTCCTCTCCCCCAATCCAAAGGACACCTGGATACACACACACATATACATACGTACAGATATGCACTCACCACACCCTCCCCCCATCCCACGCCTTCGCCGCTTCATACCCTCAGCGTGAACAGGCGGGTCTGTGACCAGCGCCTCTATGGCTGCAGGACCGGATGGCTGTTTGCCACTAATAATCTGCAATAACTTTCTTTGAATAACTTCTCCAACACTGGTCAACATACCGAACTTGGGACACTTCATGAAGAAGTCTCGCGCATCCTTCGGATAATTTCCAGTGACTTTTCCGGTGACTGGGTTGAACTTGGTGAACTCATGTCCATGGAAACAGTAGTAGTGACCCAGCCAACGGAAAGCTGATGTGCAGTTGGGAAGATGAGCCCAGTCCTCCTCGTGTGCTTCCTTCTTCTCTATCTCGAAGTGGTAGACCTTGTCCCCTGCCAGAATCATACACAAAACATGTTCTCCAGGCAGTTATTCTTAAATTCTCAGTGTCATTGTGTAACTTATAAATATACCATAAAATATGCTTTCATAAAGGTTTTAAAAGGTATAGACATCTGAAATATAGGTAATTTCAATATGCTACTATCAATTTATATTTAATGACAGCCTGTTTCACACGAAGCAGAGGCCACAAGGCAGGGGTCACCCTGAATAGGATGTCTCTTGTCCATGTCCTAATATATATTGTTTGTACATGTCTTACATATTTATTTTGCATTTATTATATTTCTTCTGCAGCATAACCAACAAGAAAGATACTTCATCTTGGTTTGTGACCCATGCATCAGCTGAAGCTGACCATACAGGTACTTTGACTTGCCGCCAATTTTACATGCACACACAAACAATGAGCACGGTTAAAGACTTGGCTTTTTCGGATTGTGGGAGAAAAATGGCACAAAGACAGAGAGAACATGCGAAATTCCAGGGCCCGGGACAGGATTTCATCCCCCACCTACCTACGGCATCCCAGTACACTCTCATATTATTAATAATAGATCAGTAGAAATCCTTGCTTGATGCAATTCTTGTCTTCATAAAATTGCGTTATATAAAGTGTTTAAAGATTGCCATAGAGCAGCCTACTAAGTATTTTTTTCCATATAACAGTATGTGATAGACAGAATAATATTATACTCTTAAGCGTATTGATACTCACCTTTAAAGAAGAGTACAGAGTCGGTTTCACACTCGTCCTTGGGGCATTCCACAGCAGCATCCAGATGGCTGGGGATTCCCGGAAACACCCCCCGGATTTCCTTTGGAAAGCCCTTCTCCAGGTTGTGGTCGTCGTAAATGAAGACCTTGTCATCCTGCAGAAATGCAGCCATTTATCAGTATCCAAAGTTCAAAAATGCATAATAGATAATTATGATTATAACAAAAATCTATAATAATGAAAAAGATTAAACTTGTTAGAGGTGATTTTGCTGTGTAGTTCCATTAGCCTTAAGGCTGCTACCATAAAGAAGAGGACGTGGTCGTGGTATTGGTCTCCGTGCTCATCACTGTGGTCATGGTGCTTATGTCGGTCTGGATTGTGCATTCTGAATGCAGCATCCACGTGTCCCAAGTGGTGCTGGTCGTCTAGCTCATGAAAGGTAGCGTTGGAAAGCTCGGCATGTGCATAAAAACCCTTCCACAGGTGGTCGCCTGGAAGAATTATCGGACAGAGCTGAAGTCACCATCACTTTGTCATCTCCATTCTAATTAAACCACTTGCTCTTTTAAATCAGAATTACAGCTCTCAAGCTGAAAGCAATTGTCCAGTAAACTGTAACTGGTCGTTTCCCAACATGGAGTGAGCAACATTTTGTCCTAGCAGCTGATTAATGACATTATCTCACACATGTGCTCTTGAAGTGTACTGCTGAGGAAGGGGATGCTTCTTTTGGGACAATGGCCAGTGACTCTTTGGGAGAATGGCCGGTGACTCTTTGGGAGAATTTCCGGTATCTCTTTGGGAGAATGGCCGGTGACTCTTTGGGAGAATGGCCGGTGTCTCTTTGGGAGAATGGCCGGTGACTCTTTGGGAGAATGGCCGGTGACTCTTTGGGAGAATGGCCGGTGACTCTTTGGGAGAATGGCCGGTGACTGCATACCTTTAAAGAAGTAGGGGATGCCTTTTTCATCGACAGTAATGGCATCAAATTCGATCCCATCACAGCGGTCAAGTTTGTCCGCATGGTGGTCATCTTTGTGATGATCATGGTCACCGGCGTGGGAGGAGTCATGGTCTGGTGGAACCAATCACAGTTGAGATAGTTTATCCTTGCTGGTCTTGTACTGCTTGTACATTGCGATTTTTGCACTTATTATATTTGTACATTAAGTTACCAAAGAACCATATAAGCATTAAATAATAATGCAACCAATAAGCAATACAAAGATTCTGGAAACCTTGACTACGTATATTAAATTTTCCTAGTAATTATATTAAAGTGAATACAAAGTGGATGGTCAGTTATGTCTAAGGATCAGTAGTAAAACTCACCACCATGAGTGTCAGCATGATGCCTATATAGAGATTAAAAGAAGGAGATCTTAGAACCATGACAACAAGAACCTCATTTTAGAATCATAACGACATGCTCATGCTTCCCCTTTTTTCCAACTATGACATTTTTCTACACAACTAATCTTTTATTCTCCTACAGTTTAGTGTTGGACTATATGTTGCGCTTGGACAGATCACTGGCGTAAACAGTAGGAATAATATCATCAACACAGGAATTTAATTGACTACTATAAGTGCATTAGCAAAATTATTTGATTTATATACTCATATTCTATGTGACTTTGTCCTCATCAGCTCAACAGATATACAAACTGCAAGAAGGTTAATGGGGTTTTTGCAATGCTCAGGGTGCAGCAGAAGTAACAGGACACTGAAAAATCAATAGAACTTCAGAGCTGCAGCTCCATGATAAACACGCAGCTGTTTGTGGGAAATAAACTGACTGGGAAGTTGTGCCCAGTGAGTGAATGGTGTTCTCTCTATGGCATCCCTGCCTTGTACACTGTGCTTCCCATGATAAACTGGAGGCTCACAATGACCCAGTACCAGATAAGCAATATGGAAGTCAGATGGATGGAATCAGAAATTAGCATGAGATTAAATTCGCTGTTTGAAAAGCAAAGAACAACCTAATTCCTAAGTAGCACATAGATGAGTTGGATAAAGGAGGTAAGAAGCTAAAAAGATGAGTAAGATCTGAGTGGTAAGTGATAGGAGGTAGCATGGTGCCCAGAGCAGATCGAGGCAGCCTGAGGAGTGCAGATACTCACGATGGAGCACCGAGGCTCATGGCCAGGGCCAGGAACACGCACAGGGACCCGAAGAGCAGCTTCATGGTGAGCGATCGTCCAGGTGCAGCTTCAGAAGAGCTTCTGCAGAGGAGATAGAGAGCTGAATCAGCTGGGTGCACCTCTGCCGGACCGGCCCTTTATACTGCACATGCAGGTGTGGTCTGGCCCGTATGTGTTTGAGGGAGGGGGGAGTTTCCAAAAGCTGGTACATGCTGTTCTATATGGATACCCTTTCCCTCAGATTACACAAATGGTAGGTGGACCCATGCAGACCCACATGCTCTGGTCAAGGCAATCAATCATAAATGCTTGTTTCAAAGAATTTTTCCTTCTTGTCCATCACTATCTCTGAGATATGCAAAATTGGTGTTTTCCTTGCTTGCAAGATGCTTTATTCAACCCCTGTGGAGAAGTTTTAGACCTCAGTAATCATTTGACTTCTTAAATGGCCATAATGGATTGTTAAATCAGTTCTCTTTATTTGGTAACCCCAAAACAGACTACCTGTCCACTGATTCGGCTAAATGCTATCTATGATTATGTCACATACACCTGAATATGCAAAAGCCTTTAGAAAAATTACAGATACATATACAATGTATGTGATTTTAATGTTGTATGTCTACCAAAACTGCAAAATTAATTCCATTTGTTTATTCTTCATTTCGTAGGTTTCTCGAATGCTTGCTTTATATTTAACATTTTAATTGCTGATGCTCCTCTTGCACTGTTTTTTAAAACAAGAACATCATGTTTCAGTATATATAGCTGCAAAAATTGATAAAAAAATAAATAAAAATTTGAACCACAGTGGATGTGTGCAGGCATTACCGACAAACATGTACCAACACATGTATCTGTATCTAATGCAGTTGACCACTGTTCTTTTATTGCTGTGCATTAAGTTACAGGTATAAATGGTAGAAAACAAGGCTGCACACAGCAGAAAAATGTGGCAATTTCAAGGACTCAGAGCAGTAAAATGTTGAGTGTTATCCAAGGGAACGGGGTTAGACTATGAACCCTTGCAGACTTACATGATCACTTGGTCAATGGAACAGGGCCAAAACAAAATAAATAAATGCTGACATATGCGATTTAGTCGAATCCTCATATTACTTTAGTCAATAGTTGAACTGTTCCAAAAAGTGAACCCAGCAACCTTTAAATAATAATGAAAAAAATGCATTCACTTGTAGGCCTACCTGTAAAGCTTAGGGCTACATTTGAAAATGATGTCTTGGCTTGTAACATGATCATGCTAATCTGTGCTTCCTTACATGTGTTTGATTTTTTTTCTGTACATTTCTATGTATGATGTCATCATGGTGGTGGACCATGATATACATTGAGGCACAGTTTTGGCAAGGTCTGCAAACGGCTGGGCATTGAGAACACCTGCACCAGCCCTCTTCGGCCTGGTGGAACGGTTTAATCACACGTTCGCTGCGCAGCTCGCCATCCTGGTCGCCCGCCACCTGCCCTTGGTCCTCTGGCCATACCGAACTGAGGTGCAGGAGAGCACTCGGCGCATGCCAGCTGTGTTGATGTTCAGGCAGGAGCTCCACATCCCGGTGGACATGATGTTCAGGCCGTCACGAGAGCCAGAGGTACTGAGGGAGCCGGCGTGTGACAGCGGGGCTTCAGGGAGCTTCTGAGAAGGACACATGAGTTGGCTGACAGCACCAAGGCTGACCTCCCGGCGGAAGGATTTTAACATCTGGGACCCAGTTTATGTTCCATTCGTAAGAAAAAGCGGTCACCTGAACCAGACATTCTTTGGAGGGGACCTGGAGAGATCCTCGAGCACCTCTCTGAAGATGCAGCTGCCTGAGTGATGTATGACTCTGGTCCCACACAGGGATCGCCTGGCACTGTATCGCCCCCTAGCTAGAGCTGACCCCCCTGCAGTGAACACTGAAAAAGGAAGGCTGGAAAATCAGCAGTGCTTGGGCCCTAAGGACCGTGATTGGAATAGTCCTGAGAGCTATTCCACAAAGCAAGATTTCCCAGTTAGCTGGATAACTCAAACCAGAAGTGAAAACTGATCAACAGGAAGAGAGGTAAGTGAAAATCTTCTTGGACAATCCTTATATTTGGCTTACAGTAAGTATTCTGGCTGATGGAGAAATCGTGTTTTGTGAAATACCTCTGGTATATACTCTTCATCTGTTTCTGTTTCATTAGAAATAAAGAGAATGTATCTGCCACATTTCTGAACAGGCTTGTCCTTTGTAATGTTTGTGTATGTATGAGATATAAGAGGATTTGTTTGTATTAATAATCATTGAAATGTTTCCCCAGCCCCAAACCAGCGTAGACCAGCATGGAAATCATGTTGGTCTGTGCTGTTTTTTTTCCCAGCAGGACACTCTCTTTATCGAACAGCAGACAGGTTTTAAATGCCATGAACTATTGCTACAAATCACTGCATTGCATGTGAAAAAAGATTAATTAAACAGAGGAACTTCATGGCTAAAGTTCAGCTGTTCCACCCTTCACATGAACTGTGTGACTCTCTTTACAGTGTTACTGAAAATATGAGTGCCAATCCCAGGAATCAACACCAAAACAAAGATACACTTTCCACCACTAATTTTTTGTTTATTGATTCATAATATTCTGTTGTTGTTTTTTTTTGCTGGTGTAGGACTGGTTCTCTGTCGTGTGGAACTCAATCCCTCTCACGCAGTAGAACTCGTCCTCTCTTACACACAAAAATAACTCACACACTTTCAAAATCTGTTGTGTACATTTGTTTCCTCTCACAAGTTTTGCTCAGCTGTCACTACAGGATCTGAGTCAACTGTGGATTTGAGTCGCGCATGCATTGCAGATCAGAGTCAGCCATATTAAAGTATTAACCTTACATTATAACCCTCACCGCAGCCTGATGTGCCCCTACCCAGAAATGTAACTACATGTCACAGCGACATAGATTGCAAGAACTGTGACTGGTCTGCTTGGTAGCATTCTTTTGGGAGCGAAGACAGCGTATGTCCCAGGTGACTGATTGTGCCAAGAACATGAATGAAGCAGTGAAGAGGCATAATTTTGACAGACATGGTTTTGTGTGATGGATTACTGACTCCTAACAAATGCTCATGCAAAATAGTTAACAGTATAACATTTCTATGAAAAACAGGTCCTTGCATCAGTTTATGCCAAAGTGTTTCATGTTAAAATAATTAAATAGATACATTATAATTATGGCTCATATTTTGTCTTAAGGGTTAACAAGTCACAGCAATTGGACTGCTGAATTATCCAATATAATCAATATTATGATGAATAAATGTTGAATGCTAAATCATGAATTTGTATTAATATGTATCTTACATTCAGTTTTGAGATTGCTGCTACATACTGTAATACAAAAAATAAGTAGATTATGGTCTATGCATGGATTGTGTTCCCACTTAAGTAGTATTCTGTTCTCTCCTGTTCACAGCTTGACATGCTGTTATGTGTAATTAATAATTTATATTTTAGACCTCTGTTTTAAACTAATGCTTATGAAACAGGGCCCCTAAATCTACAAGCACAAGTTCCAAAATCCATTCAAGGCAACCTTTGAAAGTAGCTCAGTGCTGGCATACAATAAAATTACAAAGTAACAGACAATGCAATACAACATTTACCTCAAAAAGAGGAATTAAATCGGCAGAGGTTACCCCTAAGACCCCCAATCACTAAAAAGCCTCTTTTTGAATGTAGACGGTTTAAAATTGAAGTCAACAGAAGTGTAAGTATGCTTTCTTACATAACTCCTTATTTACGCTGGTAGTCTATCATTGGAATCTCAGGATACAACCACAAACTGAACAGAAAGCGATTTATTATAAGCCATAGACTTTTGAATTATGGTTGACAGCAGTTCACTTATAAAATGTGTTTCTGGACTATGGAATGAGCTCCCAGAGAAAACCAAGAACAAAGCAGAACAAAGTGCAGGTATCGAAGCTACGTTTGTGACTGTGTGAAGCTCTACTGGTATCCACTGTCAACCAACTGTCTTCTTTTTCTTTCACAAATTAGAGTAAAATAATAACATAAGTGCCAGCAAATCTAGGTATGTACTGTAGATGTACAGTATAGTTAGAGGGGTCAAATTTCGGGGATCAAAGTGAACAGTAGTGGAATCTCCTCTTTGTATGGATCAGAAGGTTTTACAATATATGATTAGACACATCAAAGCTAGAAAGATAATAAAATGTATTTAATGAACAAGCAGTATTATGGACCATCTTTATTTCCCTACAGATAAAAAGAGAATTCATGTCGAACAATGGTAATGGGAAAAAAAAATAAGAATAAAAATTCCATTAAAATCAAAATGAGATATACAAATCATGCAATCAGTATCACATGTCATTAGTATCATTGTTAGCAAACTTGTCAGTGTTGTCATCCAATGGGCACCACGTATGTCACATATTAACCATTCAGATCGATGCGTGAGTGCCTGAAAGAGGTGTTCGCACCTCATGGTCACAGCCCAGAATATTCTTGGGGGTCTTCTGGGGAGTCACAGCAGTCCCGCTAACGGCGATGCTATTTGGGTTTTCATAGCTGTAAAACTCAGAGCCCACAAACAGTCTCACACCGCTGGAGTCACATGTGGCAGCCTCCACATTAGTCAAGGGTAGGATCGTATCTTTGATCACAGTCCTCGGGGTAGTACTGAGGTTCACAGAATACATATTTTGTCCTACAGTATGCAAAAGACATAGACAATATCTTAGTGAAAGCATCCTTGATTTCTGTTCATCTTACTTATGTTAGCAACAACTTCGTCATAATAAATAAATAATAAAATTATAATAAAATATATATCATTTAGAGGCTAGGATGGCAATAAGCCATGACACGTACAAGATAACAAGTGAGCATAATTACCTTGAATGATATATGCAATGCTTTTTCCTTCACAAGCGAAGGAAGCGTTCACTGGACCTTCAACCCCAAGCTCTTCCTTCAGAGGTTTGGGGTATCCTTCAATGAGAGTATAGTGTGCTCCAGATTTGTATATGTAAATCTGTTGACCCTAATGAAGGAACAGCCAAGAAAAAAGTCACACATTAAAAGGAAGACATATTCAGTGATTTTGTTTATTTTTCTTTCAACTGAGCGATGGTTCAGTGGTTAGCACTGTTACCTCATCCCTCTGGGACCAGGGTTGGAGTCTGGGTTAGTCACCTCCATGCGTGTGGAGTTTGCATGTTCTCCCCGTGTTGTCGTGGGGTTTTATCTGGGTACTCCGGTTTCCCCCCCACAGTCCCAAAAGTGTGCGTGAGTGTGTGAATGGTGTGTGTGTGTGAGTGGTGTGTGTGATGTGTGTGAGTGTGTGAATGGTGTGTGTGTGTGTGAGTGGTGTGTGTGGTGTGTGTGTGAATGGTGTGTGTGTGTGTGAGTGGTGTGTGTGGTGTGTGTGAGTGTGTG